TTTCAACGATCACCGCAATTTCAAGAATTTGGACATTTTCATGGATGAAAAAGGGTTGCTCAGAATAAAGACGAGACTAGCTTTAGGAGAAGATCCGTACAATTTTAGATATCCCATTTTATTGCCCTCGAAACATGAGCTAGTCAGAAGATTAATTTTTGACAAACATAGACAATACCAACATGCCGGAGTACAAACACTGCTGTGTATTCTAAGAGACAATTATTGGATTTTACGAGGAAGACAGACGATAAAAGAAGTAATAAAAGGATGTAGCATTTGTAAAAGATTTTCATCGAAAGCTTTAGATGCTCCTTTTGCTCCACTACCTAAAGAAAGGATAAATACGGCAGCGGCTTTTGAAATAACGGGCGTTGACCTAGCAGGGCCTTTATTTCTGAAAGAATCAACAAAGGCGTGGATAGTACTATTTACCTGTGCAGTTTATAGAGCAGTACACCTAGAAATTGTACAGTCATTATCAACTGATAGTTTTATTATGGCATTTAGAAGATTTTTGGCAAGAAGAGGAAGAATTTCTATTATTTACTCCGATAATGGTACTAACTTCGTAGGAACAAATAACTTGTATAGTGCAATTGATTGGAATAAAATTCAAGAATTTTCAACACTAAAAAAGATCAAATGGATTTTTAATCCTCCCACTGCTGCCTGGTGGGGAGGATGGTGGGAAAGGCTCATTAGAAAGATTAAAAACCTTCTCAAAAGAAATTTGGGTAAAGCATCTGTGAACTACGAAGAACTTCTAACAATAACATGTGATTGTGAATCAATTATCAATAGCAGACCTTTAACTTATATTTATGAAGATGAATGCTTAACAACCTTGACTCCTTTAATGTTTATTCAAGACATACCTACTAACGAGATACCTGATATAGACAGCATAGACAGAAATCACGTATTAAGAAGACAAAGATATTTACAAAAATTAAGAGACGATTTCCGATCCAGATTTAGAAAAGAATATCTAGGCGAGCTAGTTAACACAAAAAAGACAAATACAAAGCACCTTATGGAAGGAGACGTAGTGTACGTTGGACTAGAGGGGGTGAAGCGTTTGAAGTGGCCCTTAGGGAAAATTCTAGAACTGTTCCCCGGAAAAGATGGAATCACACGTGTTGCACGAATAAAATTGCAACATGGAGAAGTATTACGACCTATTCAGAGATTATATCCGTTAGAAATACCTGATCGAGACGAAAGAATTCATGAATTTAGAGAACAATTTTCGAAAACCAAGACACCCCTCACTGAAAAGAAGAAATGTAATAACGTAAACTTTAATGACAAGAATACAGAACAAGAGAAGACATCTATAGAAGAAACAAGAAAAGTTATAACGACAAGAAGTGGGCGCATTGTAAAAGAACCGCAGCGTTTTAAATCTAATTAAGATATTTGATGTAACTTTTAAAGGGGGAGAATGTTAGGATTTTAATGTTCATAGTTTTTACCTCTCCCTATATGTTAATTATTATCTTTTGTTGGATCTGTTTTTGTCACATTGACTTTTGAAAAAAAAATAAATTAATAACGTCAACATAATATATCTTATTTTTCTCTCAAAACCACGATTCGATACACCTAATTCAACATAAGACTGAATTAGTAGTCACTTTTACACTAGAAGTAAAAACAAAAAAAATGTGTGGTTGAGACAAATATGTTTTTATTAAATACACAAATTAGTCTCAACCACACATTTTTTATGTTTTTATTAAATACACAAATTAAACATAAAAGCAGGTGTTATTTGAAATGTTTTATTTTAGTTTAATAATCTTTATAAATTGTGGGTACATTTGATCCGAATCTTGCAAATACTATAAAATGCAAATGCTTCTATATGGTTAGTATTGGAGTAGAAGCACACAAGTTTTGAATAAAAATATATTCTTTAAATACAATATTCACTAGATATGCTAATTTTGGTAATTTTCTATTAGAAACCATACATGTTTTCTATTATAGTTTTCATACGTTTATAATTCTGGAGATACCGGAATATTTTGCTTGATTACTAAACTTTGGATGTTTTTGTTGTAGTCTGCTGTTAACACTATTGTCCTGAAATATTAAAAAAGCTAGACAAAGGTTTGTCCAACTCTTTTGTCAGCTTTGTTAATCTATGCTACTGTTATTCTGCATGCAGACATGTTTTACTGGAGATTTTCTCTAAGATCTGTATTCAGTTTCAAATTTCGGCCAGTTTTAGGAAAGTACCTCTGTTGTAAAGGTATTTCAAAGCCATCCTTGGTGAGATGTAGACAACAAATACATGCTAAAATGTATAGAAAACAAATCGCAAGATATTACACAAAATTATTTAAATTAACTAAAAACATACAAATGAAGTGAATAATACCTACCAACAATTTAAAAAGACCTAAAATAAATAGACTTAAGGGACTGGAGCTCTAAAAAAGGGATAATTTGTTAGGCATCATCTATAAGAAAATTATCTTCATCTCTTCAATTACCTTTTAAAATAAACAAAACCAAAACAGCACAAAATTGAAAGTGATCTACTTTTCCCGACGTATTCTATGTACATCTGAGATTAATAATTTATTAAATTGAAATATTTTATCCTAAAAAATATGGGCATTTTATAATGGAAATGTCATTTAAAAAATGACATTGATTTTTTTTCTTATATTGGTAAACCTGGCGACTACAAGTTGCCACGTTGCCAGATCAATGGCGACTACTATGTGACTACTATTTCGAAAAAAATGGCGTCCAAAATGGACTCCTATGTCGCGACCCCCTTAGATATACCAGCCCTGGGTACCACTGGGTAATGACAGTTTAGATATGGCAACCCTGTTGTCATGTTATCATTAACAGGGTCAATGCTACATATATAGCTATATAGATTGCTCAAAGCTGGTCGTTTACAAGCGGCCATATTGTCTGGTAAATATTTATTAATTTGAATCAATTTAGCAAAAATGTGTTTTAAAACCAATTTTTTGCCTTTAGGTATTTAAAAAAAATAATTGCTTATATTTTTTACTTTAAGGCATAAGCTTATGTTTATTTTGAAAAATATGGATGATCAATCTATGTAACTATCTATTTCATTGATCTTGTCAAATCACCAGGCCTACAGGGTTGCCATAATTTTGTCATATCATAACCGGTCAAAACCACTGATCTGGTAAAATAATACAGATCAGTGGTCAAAACCGTCAAAACCCACTGGTAGCCATTCAGTTTGGAATGCCTAATAGACTATTTCTTCAATGAAAACTTATTAGACTTAGGCAACTTCTCATACATTTTCCAGTAAATACTGTTGCCTGCCTATATTTTATTATTGACTTTTATCAATTATACATAATTTTCTTTAATTTAAGCGATAAAAATATATTATAATAATAATAATAAAAAATTAATGTTTTACTTGTTTTACAAATCCATATACTTTTATTAAAACTAACATGTATACTTTTTAATTACGAATTCTATTAAAAGTTGCATTTGTCAGTATACGCCGAAATAGTCCATTAGTATCAAAACGAATTGGCGCTGCTGTCGCGCACGGAGTGAATAATAGATATCAGATAATTAGGTATCAATATTGTTCAAGTAGGTATTGATTCATTTAATTATGAAATAGTTAACTGATTATTTGTTTTTTTATATATAAATTATTGATAAATAATATAATAGAGATTATATTATTTAAGCTATCCTATAAAATATGAAACCTCTATTGCCATCTAGTATCGATAAACTAAAACTGCACAAGAAATCTTTTCGTTACCGACTTTTAGTACTTTCTCAGTTTTGTCGACAGATGTCGCAAACAGTACCTACTTTTATTAATAGCGTAGCTAACCTTAGGTTTATTCTGGTTCTTCAGAAATATGTTGAAAACTGCCAAGTACTAGATAACAAGTGGAAAGTTGAAAAGTTTTACATGATGCATAATTTGAGAAAAAAAGTTGAGAGAAATCACAGATGATGCTCTCGAGTATACAGGGTGTTTCCTAATATATGCGCAGGACTTTAGGACGTGATAGCTCGTCCAAAAATATGAAAAAACGTTTCTATTAACAGGGTGTTGAAATTGAAAAAAAAATTTCTACGCCACTGGAAAAAGTACGGTTTTGAGACGCCCATTTGAACCGCCAATGTTTTCTACACAAAAAAGGTACTCTTGGTCATACGCTCTAAAGTCGACCGTTTTCGAGAAATTTTAATGTTGAAATACACGGTCAATTTTTGGAAATAAATAAAATTTGATTTTTCTTGAATATTGTAGAACTAATTCACATTATAACATGTATAGAACTTTTAAGAGCAACTTTCGGTGTAAGTACCGTAAAAGTGCTAGTGTGATGTTTTCTGAACTTCACTTTGTAACCTCTGTGAGAAGTGCTATAAAAGTCTTTCTTGCCGTTGCAGACATTCGGCGGTTGCATGGGTACTAGCGTTACATTAAAAGTACATTACATGCGAGCTTAAAGAGTCTAAAGTTGCAGCTAATTAACGTAGATGGGATGTTTTTGTGTTAGCTGGGAAAGAAAAAGAAAGTTTTAAGAATATTTCTGAGTAGTTACAATTTATTCGAGTAGGTACTGCCCAGCTCTGGGAGAAAGTCACTTCACTCGACCATCCCATGCTTGTCATTTGTAAGAAGTCATATAAATTTAAATGATATATCGGTGGCTTATCCTGTATATCCAAAGATATTTTTAAAGTAGGCATTTTTCAAATCGATTTTTAATTCAACCCTTTGTTTGCGTTTCTATAACACAAATTGAAATATCGTACAATAACGCAATACTGGGACATGCTGTATAACATTTCTCTCTCTATAAAGAGATAAATATTGGTATTTGCACAAGTTGCATAATGGAAAAATCTTAGGAATTTCAGAAGTTCCTTATCCTAATTTCGAGATAAAGGAAGGAAGGAAGCACTCTGTGGTAACGCTACTAAAAACCATTCGAAACAAAATTATTCTTATTTCTTATAAATAATTTATTTTTAGAACGACAATAACAGCTAACAATAAATAAATAAAGTCACATTTATGTACAAACGATGAATTACAAAAGTCTTTGGAGCACATTGAACATTTTTCGAATTCTAGATTGTAATTGTCTCGAGAGGACATTTCGCAAAGAGATCTTTCTGATTTCAGGGCGCATCTTCTCGTGTAGAAACGATCTGTTCCTCTTTCTGAAAAAAACAAACAAAAATCAGTCAATAAACAGTAAATAAAGTAGAAAACAATGAACAGGATGAAGCGTTAATGGGCCAAGAAGGTTTTGCAACTCCTCAAATGTGGCCATCTTCAAATGTGATAAGGAAACAACAAAAACTTATTTATTGAGTAAAAATATTAGGCAACCGGTTGTAAAACTTTCTCGTTGTTATTTTTTTATGTTTGTAAAAAATATTTGTTTATTTTCCGCACGCGTAAAGGGCCATCTTATTTAATCAATAGGAATCGTTGCAAATTATTTTCAAGTCGCTAACTTCGACAGTAAATGGCGAGATAAACGAGAAGGTAGTCAAAAGACAGACAGGATACTATATCCCTGGCATATGCCACCAATCTGCCTATTTGCCAAAATATATAGTTCAATATTTATGAAATATTCACAGAATATATTTCATTCTAGAAAGATATTCCAGGCATATGTATGTTTTGATATGCTGAGCACATTCGTTTTTTAAATTTTATAGATATATCTGTAGAATATTGTTATATTTAACTATTTTGTTTTATTATCTATAAGTACAAATGAAGACATAGTTAACAGGATCACCTTTGTTGAGTCTATAAGGTCTTAAATTAAACAAAAACATGAACTAGAACGCCGGAATCAAATGAAACTGTTCGATGGTGGTGAACACGGCCATTGTTTCTGATTATTGTTACATTTATTTTTATACATATACTGTGTTTTTTGTTTCAGAGATATTCTTCATAATGTTAAGGGCACAATGCTGTATTCTGGAATATGTAGCACCCTAATAGACAACTACTTCATACATCATACATTTTTACTTTCCTATCTGTATACAGATATAAGGAAAGTATAGGAATCATGATTTTTTTCGACCTCGAGTTTTCGACGGATTTTTACGTTTTGAGGTCCCCTGAATCCGTTTTGACTATTTTCGCGATGATGTGTGTGTGTGTGTGTGTGTGTGTGTGTGTGTGTGTTGTGTGTGTGTGTGTGTGTGTGTGTGTGTGTGTGTGTGTGTGTGTGTGTGTGTGTGTGTGTGTGTGTGTGTGTGTGTGTGTGTGTGTGTGTGTGTGTGTGTGTGTGTGTGTGTGTGTGTGTATGTGTGTGTGTGTGTGTGTGTGTGTGTGTGTGTGTGTGTGTGTGTGTGTGTGTGTGTGTGTGTGTGTGTGTGTGTGTGTGTGTGTGTCTGTAGGTCGCATAACTCATGAACAGATACACAGAAAAACACCAAATTTTAAACTTAAGCTTTGTTTCAGCGTCCAATGAGCTGATTAGATTTTGGGTAGAGTCGGAACATCTGGGGGGGTACTTTATAGGTGGTCATTTTTATATTTTATGGAATATATCTATTATTTACGTTTGGAGAAGAAAATTCTTCAAATAAAAGTTACTTCTTATATAATTATCTATAATTTTTGTTTTATGCAAAATTTTCCTAAAATGGTCCGTATTCGAGAAATTTGACAAAATGTAAAAAAAATAATTTTTTATAAAAATTGTTTAAATAAAAGTTGTTTGTAATATAATTCTCTATAATTTTTATCCTATAAATAATTTCTCTAAAATGGACCGTATTCGAGATATTTGAGAAAATGTGTAAATTTCGAATTTTGAAGAAAACTCAAAAACGGATAAAGGAAAAAACATTAAATTTTAAACTTAAGTTTTATTTCGACCTGAGGTGAACTGATTAGATTTTGGACAGAGTCGGAACATTTGGGGGGGTACTTTATTGGTGGTCATTTTTTATTTTATGGAATATATTCGTTATTTACGTTTGGGGAAGAAAATTCTTTAAATAAAAGTTACTTACAATATTATTATCTATAATTTTTGTTCAATGTCAAATTTTCCTGAAATGGTCCGTATTCGAGAAATTTGACAAAATGTGCAAAATTCTGATTTTTAAGAAAATTGTTAATCTAAAAGTTGTTTGCGATATCGATCTCTATAATTTTTGTTTTTAAATGACTTTTCTAAAATGGACCGTAATGGAAAAATTGGAGGAAAAGTGCTAAATTAAAATTTTTTAGTATTTTCGTTTTCCATGAATATCTATAGAAAAATGTTTCGAGGTATGTGGAAAATGTATATATTTAGTTTATCCTCTAAACATTTTTAGAGATGCTGCAATAGGTTGTACAAAATAACCGGAAAAGCCTATAATAACTAGATAGGAAAGTCATGTGTTGGACACATCAGATTTTTTAAATATCGCTATTATAACGCAAAAATGCAGTTTGCGTGAACAAATCTTAATATGGCTAATATTTTTTAATGCGAGTTATTTTTATTGTAAATTTGAATGGCCCCGCGCTTATCTTCTCTTCTTCTTTTTTTTTCTTCTCTTATATGGCCCCGATAAGGACTTACTTGGAAAAATCAACCACGTCCGCCATTTTTTAACATGGGAGTTACCGTTCTAAGAGTAAGTGTTCTGTGACCACCGCCTACTTTATAAACATTTTTTTATAGGTAACACGTCAATTTTCGTAAATATTATATCCATTGTTATTAAGAGGACAAAAATACTCACTTTCTATCGTTGTCAGGCATCGAAAATCATCGTCACCTTCGATGCCGCGCATCCTAGCTTGTTTATTATCAGGATCCAGTACTATAGTGAAGACGGATCGATCACAGTCAACTATGGAAATATTGTTTTGGGTGGGATTGTCACAGCCTTCTTGGGATAATGTGCATTCGAAGCAACTTAGACTGCAAACTGAAAAGTAGGGTTAGATTAGACTAGTACAAGTATCAATAAAATGTAATAATGACACTCCCTGGGCGGGAGCAGAACACAATAGTACTCTGCAAAATATAAAGAACGCTACAAGGAAAATTGTTCGTGTATAAATTCAACTATTAAATAAAATATATTATTTTTAGAGAACTTATATCAACTATTATGTTAATTATAAATATTATAATATAAATATTTGTAACAAAATAATAGTTATGTATTAATAAACCTGTTGCCACTCCAAAACATACCTATAGAAATTTGTTGAAATATGTTCTATTGCTCTTAATCTTTTTATTAGGTTCTTATTTTAGTTGTAAATAAAAATCAACATTTTTTATCCATCTATTTAACAGTTACAAACATGCATATTTTAAGTTGTAAGGATCCGTAGCATCTTCATTTTTTACATTAAACACAAGACCTGTGATGTCACATTAAATCGTGAATATGAGGTAAAGGATTTGGGAGTTGTATTTTAGTCTAATTTGAAGTTCAATAACCATTTCTTACACATAACTAAAAAAGCAATAAAAGCTTTGGGTTTTTAAATCAGAAATACAAAAAAATTTCGGATTACCACCAAAATCAGATTACATAATGCCTTAGTAAGACCCCATCTTGAGTATGTTTCACAAAATCATAAATATGGATGCCCTTGGAAGCCAGACATATTGATCATATTAAAAAAGTACAAAATATATTTTTACGGTACCTTTATGTCATAAAAAATACTCGTACCCTTACAAAAACTATGCTTGATAGAAGAAAGCATAAACGAATTACTGTTTTCAAAAACAATAACATCAAGGTTGTAATGTCACAGGAAAGAGAATACATAAATAAAATTTTGAATTTTTGTAGACAAACTAATTTTACTTTCCTATTCATTTCATCTCTATGTCTGTGTGTATTGTAGGAAAAGTAAAATAGAAAAATAATAACGTCTCTGTTCTATACAGGGTGTTATTGAAATACACGTACATAATAAAACTGGGTATTGCGCAGATCCCCACTGAATGTAGAAAAATATTATTTTTTAAAAATACCCCTTAAATACCCCGTACTTCACTGATATGTTGAGGATGACCTATATAAATTAGGTTTATTTACCTATTTTAAACATCAACAGTAATTAATATGCAAGTTTTTGTCAGATGATAAGAAAACTAGTCTTGTAAGAAATAACCATGTTGCCAAGATTTTCGAATTAATTTCTATTTCCGAAGACTGGTTTTTACTACCCTCGTTATCAAAAAACTAGAATATTTGATAAATGATTGTTTTTAAACTATACATTTTTGAAACTATAGATTATTAAAATTTTAGTTGATTTACGAATCTGGCTAACATGAGCGCCTCATTTCCAAGTTGGTAAAAAGTGTTGTTACGATTACTTTTAAATATTTTTTTACGATGCCACTATTTACGAATATTGAACTAACGGATATAGTGCTGGTTTATGGGGCAGCTGGAGAAAATTCTCGGCAAGCACAAATCCTGTATCGCGAACGGTTTCCAAATCGGAGAATTCCGGACTGTCGTACGTTTATTTCAACTGTTCAGCATCTAAGAGACCATGGAAAATTTGAGAGTGTCAATGCAGATCGAGGGAGAACAAGAACACAAAGAACATTGGCGGCCGAAGAAGAAATATTGGAAGCTGTTGAAAACCGGCCTCAATTAAGTTGTCTTGAAATTGGAGTGTCCTCATTTGTTGTGTGGAGGACACTTAAAGAACAAGGTTTACATCCTTATCACATCCAAAAAGTCCAGGCCTTATATCCAGGTGATGAAGAAAAGAGAGTGGAGTTTTGTGAATGGATGATTCAAAAATGTGTTGATATTCCTGATTTTCTAAAAATATTATTGTATACTGACGAGGCTTCATTCACTCGTGATGGCGTGTTCAATATGCACAATACGCATATTTGGAGTGATGAAAATCCTCACGCCATTAGGGCAACTGGGCATCAAAGAAAATTTTCAATAAATGTTTGGGCTGGCATAATAGATCAGTATTTAATCGGGCCTTATGTTCTCCCGAACAGATTAAATGGGCCAGGATATCTCCACTTTTTAGAAGATATTTTGCCAGTACTCCTAGAAGAGATACCGTTACAATTAAGGCAACGGATGTGGTACCTACTAGATGGCGCTCCTCCTCACTTTGATTTAAACGTACGGCAGTTTTTGAACATTAGATTTCCTCAAAAGTGGCTAGGCAGAAATGGACCTACTAAGTGGCCTCCGAGATCTCCGGACTTAAATCCATGCGATTTCTTTTTGTGGGGTCACATGAAACAACTGGTTTATAATGAACCTATTAATAGTGTTGAACAATTAACCAATAAAGTTAATACGGTAGCCGAGGAACTACGACAAAATCCAAGACTAATTTCTAATGTTCAAAGTTCTTTGGAAAGACGATTGCAAGTGTGTGTAAATAATAATGGACGGCATTTTGAACAATTACTGTAATAAACTTTATTTTGAATTAATTGGTTTTGCTACGGCAACAGTGCAATTTCTATGGGTAAGTTCAATTTCGATTTATTTTACTTCTTTAAATATGGAAACTAGTAGGTCGGAAAAGGGGACTCTTCCCCAATATTTAAATTTTAGAATTTGAAGTTAAAATTGGTGCCAATCGTTTTTGGTCATTACATACTATTCCCCATTTTAATATGTACGTGTATTTCAATAACACCCTGTATTTTATATACCTTAGACCAAAATAAGTCGATTTAAGTAAAATTACTTTAGTACAAAGTTGCTTTGTTTGGGCTCCAGAGGGCCTTGAAGTTACAATTGTTAAATCGTTTTTTCCATATAAATTTAAAACGGCATATGCGATTTTGCTGAAATTTGGTATATTGGTAGAGTTTTATGTGGCAAAAAAATGGTATTAAAATTTTGTCCGATAATAATACATAGGCGTAGAACTTGATTTTTAAAATAATTACACCTTTAAAAATTCTACGCCAATGGAAGAAAAGGAGTTTGAGTATGAAATTTAGATTGCGCAACTCATCTACTTTAAAAAAGGTACTCTTGATAAGACTCGATTACTCTCATGGTTTTGACGAAATTTGCATTTTAGTAATTTTAGAACATAAACAATAATTATTAAAATACAAACTTTGTCAAAACCATGAGAGTAAATCGAGTGTTTATTTAAAGTAAATAAATAGTCAGTTTATTTTGTTATGTTATTGATGTATTTTCTTAATTACTTTGTTTGGTTAAATTACTTCGCATATATATTGGACACTAAATTGTAAATTAGTCACATTTGAAAAAGAAGTTGTACTTCGAAACATGTCATGTGTAGTGTTTTTAATTTTTTTTTTTTTTTAAATAAAAGTTTTGTGAAAATCTACCAAATTTGGTTTTACTTATTTAAGCGAGTATTTTTAATGTTTTAAATATTTTTTTATTTCTTTTGTATCATATATTACATTTAAAACTAAAATACAAAAATTTTGAGTTGTAATACTGTTAGAATATATTTCTGTTTTCTATAAGTTTATAATTATGTACCTCAATGAGAAAATACTTATATGGCTTTTATAAAAATGAAAATAAATTTATGAAAATACTTTTTAAAATTATTTTTCAATAGTTGATAATAATACCTAACTTAACCCGTATGAACGTAATACAAATGTGGGGCGATATTTTAAATTTGCACAAGGGCACCAAAAGTGCTATGCGCGGGCCTGCCCCATACCTAATTAAAATTTGTGACATGCTCTGTACATGACTCATAAATGTTGATATCTGATGATTTTATTAAGTATAAGTTTTAAACAATGCAGAAATTTTTATAAATAGCTTCAACTCAAATAAATTATGGCCTGGTTGTAGAATAATCGGGTCAAATTACACTCGAAAGAAATTTCAAATTTTCATTTTATATACAACGTTGCACAATTCTTGTTTTTATATAGAATATTTAACACACGAATATTAATGATATAGGTAGCAATATATTAACATTACTGAATTTAAATACTCCTTATCCTACCAGAAAAACCCTGATTTATAGAATAAAACTATAACTATTTTAATGTAAAAAAGGAATATGAAATTAATGTTTTGTGTCATTTAGAATATCGAAAATTCAAAAACACTGTAATGAAATATTTAATTATTTCTAAATAAAAAGTAATAAAATATTCATATGTCTCTAGCATCTTGAAATTCATTGATTTGCATATATTAATAAGTTCGTATAATATATTGAATGTAAAATTCTGTTTGTTTAGAATTTAAATAAATAAATCAAAAAATAGACTTACCCAAGTCGAACATGGCAAAAAATGCATTGGCAGCCAAAAAACACCTGCTCGACGACAGCAACATCTTAAAAATGTAAATAATAAAATTCATAATGAATATTTATGCAAAAAAATTGTGATACGACAAAAGGAAATTGCAGATATAAAGGACGTCACCGAAAGATTAAACGCGGTTTTCATTACGTCTATCTTGACACTACCTACAAACAATTTTGTTTATATCCGCTTTTCTTTTAATGATTTTGTGCATTTCAGAAAAATCTCGCAGCATTCGTTGTATTTTTACGTAAGCGTTTGCGTAAGACTGCGCTATGATTTCATGACTGGAAGCTACACTGTTATTATATCACGATTATTAAAGATAATAAACCTCATTAGACATTCCAGGTAGACTAAGAAAACTGCAAACTTGTGAAATTAATTAAAAGTTTATAAACTATTTTTTATTTAATTATAATTAAGTATTAACCTGAAAAAGTATTAGGCTCTTATCTACTTTATACAGGGAGTTTCGCGAGTGACTAGTCAAATTTTACCTGATGGTAGAGGAGTCTGGAGAAATTTCATTTCTGCCATCATTGTATTTCTAAACACCTTTTTTTTATTAGGGTGGGCCAACTTGTTCATGTTGCGTGACCTCGCTCTGCTCGTCCCGCAAATATTCACTCTTTATATAAAATAAACCATTTCTTAACTGCACGGAAAATACCGGTGTGAACTTGGCAGCCAAAAGCTACCAGACAATTTCCCGAAGATGCCCGAAAGATCATTAGCGTCTTTAAAATGGTTAAAAATTTAAAAATCGGTAGTAAATAATAATATTATTAACCATTTAAAACAGCCTAGTCTCAAATGGTTTCTAATATTATTATCTAAATGTGTACCGATTTTTAAAGTGTTAACTTTTCCCTTCTGTACCAAATAGTTTTTTTCCAATACTTCAAAAACGTTTGCTACCCCATTAAACCAACTTATACGTCTCGTCGGCGGGTCCTTTTTGCCCACAAATCTGTTTTCTACCTGTGTAAGTAAAGGGGTGCGTTAATCTTACTGGTATTTTGCCCACTGTAGCATTCAGGTACCTAAACCCGCAAATTACATCCGCCCACAAATAGGTACCTACCTGATTATTAATAATTCTAATAGGTACTTACTTTGGGTGTTTACTGTTTATATTTCAGTCAGTTTTTATACGTTGATGATTGTAATTCGAGTGTTTATAAACAATAATTATTTTTATAATGTCAGCTACATTGATTAAAAGCACACGCGGGAAAGATGTACTCCTTTTGGAGAATTTTACGTTTGCCAAAGATAGAGAAATGAAAAGTGGAGAAGTTTCTTGGAGATGCTCCCAAAGAAAAACAAATGCTTGTAATGCCACTGTATTTACAATTGGTCCTGAACTTTTAGTATCCAGAGGCAACCTAATTCATAGCCATGAAGCAAATGAACCGAAATTAAACAGAAAAATTATTTCTAATTCGTGTAAGCGAAAAGCAGTTGATGATATTTCGGAAAAACCTTCTAAAATTATCCGTAAAGTACTTGCTACTAATTTACCAGAGTCACTAACTATAATTGATGTGTCTTACATAAGAAAAACTATATACAACAGTCGTCGCAAAATACTACCAGGTCCATTACCTACAAATATACAAGAAGTGCATGATGCAGTTGACTTATATTCTAATACATTTAAAACCAGTAAAGGTGAACATTTTCTTTTAATAAATAGCAGAGAAAATAATATTATTGTATTTACATGTGAGACAAATATTCGTACTTTGTGTAAAATGAACGTCTTGTATATGGATGGAACATTTTCGTATTGTACAAAGTTTTTCCTACAATTATTTACCATTCATGGGCTGTGTAATGGACACTATGTGCTATAAAAAATATAATATAACTTATGTATACTTACTTTTTTATAATAATAAAAATTAGTGTTTAATATAATTTTTAGTTTAATTAATAATGTGTTTTTACTTTTCGATAATATATAAAAAATAATAAATGAAAGATATATCTATTATGATTTATTCAGTTAGAAATAAATTTGGGCAAAATACCAACAGGATTAATATGACCTTTTACTTGCTGTGGGCAAATTACCTATAGGATTAGCAGCTTTAAATATTTTGTGGGCAAATTACCTCCGCCCCCCCTCGTAAGAAAATCAGACTAGTCTCAAATTGTTTCTAATATTATTATCTAGTTATTTACCGATTTTTAAAGTGTTAACTTGTTCCCTTCTGTACCAAATAGCTTTTTCCAATATTTCAAAAACGGCTGCTACCCCATTGAACCAACTTATACCCCTCGTAAGGAAATCAGACTAGTCTCAAATTGTTTCTAATATTATTATCTAGTTATATACCGATTTTTAAAGTGTTAACTTTTTCCCTTCTGTACCAAATAGCTTTTTCCAATATTTCAAAAACAGCTACTACCCCATTGAACCAACTTAGACCCCTCGTATGGAAAAATAAAACTCTTCTGAAATTGTAAATAATATTATTAGTTTCTTGTATACCGATTTTTAATATTTATCCTTTTAAAAGACGCTACTGGTCTATCGGGCATCTTCAGGAAATTGGCCGCTAGCTTTTGGCTGCCAAGTTCACACCGGTACGAAAAATACAGTTCCAAATAAATGATTTACTTAAAAAAAAAACCCTTGTCATAGTTATTTTTTGAAATAAACTCCTCTCGGAATTAGTCGGTACAGCTAATTTTATTGTCACATTTGTAGGAGACTGTATCTAGGAAACGTTTTTTAAAAATGAAGAAGATTCTGAAAGTTCATTATTTTTGTATCAATGGCTTGGTGTAATCTTCAGTATAAAGTTATTTTTCAATGTTGTATAGGGTGTGAAAGAATGTAAAAGAATGTAAAAATGTAAATTTTTAACTGCCTGAACCTGTTGCAATAGTAATTTCAGAACTTTCATCGTAATCACATGGAGAAGTTTTGGTCGATATCTGGGGAAGTATTTGACAGTTTCGTATTTTTTTGGTTAGAAAAAAGTTACAGGGCATTTTCAAAAAGTCCGCATTAAATCTGTTTATTTCAAGTGTTTCTAAATGGTTTAATTTAATGCCTTTATTTTCAAAATGTGAAACAATTTTTGCATAAACGATTGATTTTCAGATAAAAATATGTTTTGTAGAATTTTTTTTGTTTTTATTATAACTATTGTAATGTTTTAAATAGCTTTTTTTTTTTAAAGTACGGCCCATTTGACTAATATACAATTTTACCACAATTTAATTTATTTGAATAAGGATAATTTCCTGACCGTAACAGAATTTTATATAAATATCGAACGGAAAGTGGTAGAATAGCCTTAACCTAAAGTCGGCTTACTTAAAAATAATGATTTTTTAATTGACTATAAAATTATGTACTAATAACAACACTAAGCAATATGTATGAACAAGTATCATTCACTATTATTTTATGTCTTAAAATATACGCGTCCTTGGTTCTTTAGATTTGGCGTTTACAATATTAATTTAAGTTCTCATTGCTGTTATCTGGTAAAATTTGCCATCAATTCAAAACTTTTATTCGCTTAGTAGGCTATTGGAAAAAGCAGTTTAACAAAAACCATGAAAACGAAGCTCAAAATAATGACAGTAATTGTCATCTGAAAAATTATAACCTTGCAATATTTTTAATTATGTAGTTGTCTTAAAAATGCCTTTAAGAGAAAGTGAGTTACGAAACATTAGACGGTAAGTTTTTATAATGCAATTTAACAGGGCCTCATTAAAAAAAGTATTTCAAACAGATTGCGACGAGGATTGAGTTTAAAACATATCGCTGACTTGGTAGGGACATCAAGATTCACAATTCAAAGGCCGATAGAAAGAAGCCAAAATCATAGTACTTCTGTATATAGAAAAATTCGGCAATGCAGTCGCAAAAGATGTACGCCCCCCAGGGAAGATCGTTTGATGAACCATCTATCTGTCAGACGAAGAAGAACTCTAAATGCGACACAAATAAAGGTAAGACTACAAAAGATAACGGGAACAATAGTGTCGACTACTAGGGTAAATCGAGGATAGATGGCGCAGAAGGTGAGATGGCGCAGAAGGTGAGATGGCGCAATGGTTTTGCAGCGCCACCGCTAGTGTTAAAGATGAGCGGATGCGCTCTGATGTACTTCAGTTCATAGTAAACAAGCCGCCGCACCGTTTGTGTTCACCAGTTAAATGCCTATTTGAATATAGTTTTATACGTGATCCGGTGGGAACAAAACTATTTTTCCCATTTCCTTCTTAGCGCTAGTGAACTTTAAATTTAATAATAATTTTAGTCACGTTATCGTCTCAAGTAAGTAAAAACATTCTAGTTTTGTTGTATAACCTTAAAATTCCGCATTTTTCAAAACGTGTTTGGTTTGTGAGGTGCGCCATCTCTCCTCTCACAATGAGGATAGATGGTTCACATATTTTTGAGGTGAGATGGCTTATTAATATTTATTTTTCTTTTCAGTATGCCAACAAAATACAAGCGCACTGGAAGTTGTTCCAGGGCTAGTTGGACCGAACAACAGTTAGCCGCAGCCATTGAAGCCATTAATAAAAATATAATGGAAGTTAATGATGCTGCTCGAAATTTTGGGGTACCGGCAACCACTCTACGAAGAAGAAAATTGAGAAACAATGTAAAGAAAGGTCCTCTTGGACCCTCCTCCACATTAGGCGAAGCAGCTGAGTCAAAGTTGGTCCAACATATCCTAAAACTTCAAAAACACGGTTTTGCTCCTACTCGAACCGACGTGCGAAGTATGGCTTTTAAATTGGCCGAACAGCTGGGCATTAAACATCGTTTTAATAAGGAATCGAGATTAGCTGGTTTTCCATGGCTCAAGTTATTTCTGCAGAGAAACCCAAGGCTGTCAGTGAGAAAAGCAAAAGGGGTCTCTATTAATCGATCCTTGGGTATGAACAAAAAAGATGTTGAGGATTATTTTCAGCTGCTAGGAAATATTCTGGCCGAAAACGATCTCATAAATAAACCTGGACATATTTATAATATGGACGAGACTGGTTTACAGCTTAATAATAGGCCAGGGCATGTCATTGTTCAGAAAGGATCTAAAAATATCGCAAGTATCAGCTCCGGTGAAAAGGGAGAAACCATCACGGTTATAACCTGTTGTAACGCAGAAGGCGTTTTTATTCCCCCTACCTGCGTAATGAAAGGCAAAAATAAAAAACAGGAGTTTGAGGATGGGATGCCCCCAGGATCCTTGGTCTACATGTCGGTAAAATCAGTCTATGTCAACAGTGACATATTTT